CAGAATCCCCTAGCTAGTGTGCTGGCTGAGGAATTCTAGGAGTTGAAGTCCATACATCTTCAAGTTGCCAAGGTTGAGAAATGCCAATCTAATGCAACTGGGCATCCTATCTATTTAATATTGGACACATGGATGTGAGGCAACATAAACTATATTTTCAGCATGTTGAGCCTTGTGTGGACTTTCTTCAGTTTTATTATGCAGAAATTGCTGAGCATGAATTTTTGCATTTTATAACTCCTACAAAATATTTTATCAGATTTTAACAGGTAATAAAATGAACATTAATTCCACCTCAAGTTTAAAAGCATCTGAAATTACAGAGAACTGAATGTTCACAGCATGTGGCTGTTTTCAAATTTGAGGAAAAATGCATGACATTTAATTCCTGGCCTTAATAGTGAATTAAGGGAAAAAGATTAATCAGTCCACTGCACATCACTTTACTCTTAAATCCTGCAACTTAATTTACTTTGCAATTATAATTTGACAACAGTTTGTTTATGCGACTCAGGATACTAGATAAGAGAGGGCAATGTTCACAACCTAAGAAACTACTTGAAGGGACTGACATACAATTCAGGACAGACAGCAAGACTGCTGATCCACAGAAAGTATGTAAGTCACTCTTACGCTCTTGTTATCTGATTGTTCAATCCTAAATTTACTTGTGTTACTTCATTCTCTCTGTTTCAATAACATTTTGCACTTCAAGAAAGTTGGATGTCAGGATGCAACTAGGTATCCTGAAGATGTGGACAAGATTTCTGGAAGACGCAGAGCCCATAAGCATTTAAGGTGCATGCTAGATTCATGTCAGCTCATAAAATCAGCTAGGAAAAAAAATCTGCCTCTTTGAGAGAGGATGAGAATCCAACCCCCCTTCCAAAATTAAAAAGATACGTTTGTTAGGACCCTCTGATGCAGTGTTTCTCAACCTTGGCAATTTGAAGAGGTGTGGACTTCAACTCATGCTGGCTAGGGAATTCTGGGAGTTGAAGTCCACACCTCTTCAAGTTGCCATGGTTGAGAAACACTGCTAGTCTGATGTAAGGAAGTTTTACCCGAATCCAATTTGTATTTTCTTTAGGGATTGTAATAAGGCAACATACATAATCATTTGGTCTCGATGTTCTTTCACACTATGGTTTGACCGCTGACCATATTTTTTTCCTAGTTTGCCTAGCTGTGGTATTATAACGCATCACTTTGCAGTGACTCCAGATGTTCTTCAAGGATATGCTGTGTTTCACAAATTAGTGATGTGCAATCCTGACCGGGAAGAATGGTTGAAATTATAATCTTATATAACAAAATAGAACAACAGGAGGTAGAAGCTACAGTACAACACACACAGAGCTCTGAATTGGAAAATCATCAGAATTCAGTCATAATCGTATATTAATGCCTGACACTGCTTTGTTTATGGATTGTGTGAGATTTTGTTATATTGGCATTCAGACATCATGGTAAGCCAGAATTCAAGTTTATCGAGAATGAGGTACTTCATCTTTCCCTCTTGGCTCCTTCTCCCAGCAAAGATGACCAAACAAACTAAAAACCTTAGACCCCTGACTTGCCTCTCCCAAACAAAACAGAAATTGGAACCTAACAATAAATCACGACTTCTGACTCTGGTTTGTTAGGAGAGGAAAAAGCCAACAATTCCTTGGTCACATGTCACAGTACACAAGCCACAGAAGAAGCTAAGCAGGAGCATCCAAGCACTGCAAAGGAGCATGGCGTTTATTCATGGCAATGAATGAGATCCAGATATTTTCCATCTTGGGTTCTGAATAGGGTTGCACTCGCCAGACAGACCCAGTGCACAGGTTGGGGTCCTCCTAGACTCACAGCTCCTGCTTTAAGAGTAGGTGGTAGCTGTGGCTTGAAGGGACTTTGTACAAATCCATCTTGTGTGCCAATTGTGCCCATTTCTGAATCAGGGGACCCTACTCATGATCACTCGTGCCTTGGTTGCCTCCCTCTTGAACTACTGCAATGAAATGAGCTCTACCTGGGGCTGCCCTTGAAGGCCACCTGGAAGCTACAGCTGGTCCGATGCAGGTAGTTATGGGTGCATCTTGGTCTGCCCACGTAGCACCGCTACTTTGCAACCTGTACTGGATACCAAGGGGCTTCTGGGTACAATTCAAGCTGTTGGCTATCATTTTTGAAGCCCTTCCTAGCACAGGGCCCGGTTATTTGCAGGATTGCCTATTTCTGATTATCGCTGCCTTTTGGTTAAGATCTGGCAGGGTTAGTGTGCTCCAGATCCTGTCATTTAAGCACTAATCTAGTAGAACCCAGGCCATGTAGTTTCTCTCTTGCTGGGCCTGCCCTATGGCACAGCACTCCCTTCAAGATTGTGATGAACGGTCCTGATCCTGCCTGCCTCTTCTAATGCTTTGAAGACCTAGTTATTCCCCCCCATATGAGATCTGGAGTCCTGTAACCCCATCCGAATTGACTGTTTGGGGTTGCTGAATTGGCTCTAGTGAATTTGGCTTTATGTCTTATTATAGTTTATGATATTTTATTTTTACACTTATTTAAGATGGGTGACTATATAAATTATCTAAAGAAAATAAATGTGTTGTTTTAATTGTGTACACCACCCTCAGTCACATGTCATGTGGGCGGCAATGTAATGTAAATTAACTAACTAAATAAGTCAATTCTGGCTTATCGAAACATCAAATGCACCCATGCAAATTGGCTACAGCACTCCTATTCATAAAATGGTCCTACAGCTGGTCCACATTTTACAGGGAAGGTTATTCTTTCCCACCAACCATTACCGTCACAGTGAATTCAGCTTGACAGATCCTAGCCTTGCATTATTACAAGCCCTCCTTTAATACTGCCCAAGACGCTAATGACATCTACGACGCTGAGGGAAATTCAAAACCTAGTAAGTCTACATTTACCGCCAGCTAAATAGCCTATTCAATGGCAAGGAGGAAAAAATAGTTCCTCAGCTGAGACATGAAAAGATTAATACAAATATAGGGGCATATTTTCCCACCAAAATATGTCAGATTAAATTTGAAGGACATCAAAGTTCATGGACACTCCCAACCTTTCAGACTCCTAGATCAGTCACTTTGTGAAACCCCATCTGATTCACAGGACTAGCCCCCAGGGAACAGGAAAACTTGAGGCTCTGGGTGGCATCTCATACCACAAATGTAAAATAAACTAGAAAAGGAAACCAAAACCAGCTTCCCTTCTAACATTATCGTCTAAGCTAAATGCTTCCCTGCTGGTCTGGCCAATTTGCTTATAGCTCCATCCTCTGGCTAAACTCAGAGGCAGCCTGGATCCCTGTTTGACATCTCTCAGATCCCAGGCTTGCAATGTGCCACAAAGTCACATCTGACTCCCCCTGAAATGAGCCCAAAAGGACATTAACTCCTTCTGTTGGAAGACAGCTATTTTTATTGCAATAAACACCGATGTTACACTGCTCCTTTTCAGAAAAAAGATGAGAAACTACATCTTTTTTCTCCCTTTACAGGATTATTGTAGTCCTTTATATTTGTTTTGATAACAAATCAGTATGGTATTTTACTGTTTTATTTCATTTTGTTTTTTTCATTTCTGGTGATTAAATTATAATGATGCCAGAGGGCCAGGTTGTCAACAAACAGATACAGGTAGTCCTCGCTTAATGACCACAATAGAGACTGGGAGATTTGTTGTTAAGCGGGGTGGTTGTTAAGCAAGTCACACCTGATTTTACAATCTTTTTTGCAGCAGTCATTAAGCAAATCACCCTGGCTATTAAGCAAATCACACAAGCATTAAGCAAATAACACAGTTCCCCATTGATTTTGCTTGCCGGAAACCAGCTGGGAAGGTCACAAATGGTGATCATGTGACCCCAGGACACTGCAACCATCGTAAGTGTGAGCTGGTTGCCAAGTGCCCAGATTGCGATTATGTGATCGTGGGGGTGCTACAACAGTTGTAAGAGCAAGGACCAGTTGTCTCTTTGTTCAGCACCATTGTAAGTCCGGTCAATAAACAAATGGTTGTTAAGTGAGGACTACCTGTATAAATAATCAGGGTTTTTAGCATGTGGGAAACATCTGCCTTTCCAGGCGGTGTTAGGCTAGCTCCTATGAGCATAGCCAATGGTGCAGTAAGCTGGAAGTTGTAGTCCAGTAACATCTGGAAAGCTCTAAATCTCCCACCCTAGAATTGGTTGCAGCAGTATAGTAGAATGTATTTGTGTGCATAACAGAAAATTTAGACCAGTGTTTCTCAATCTTGGCAGTTTTCAGAGGTGTGGACTTCAACTCCCAGAATTCCCCTTGCTGGCTGGGGAATTCTGGGAGTTGAAGTCCACACTTCTGAAAGCTGCCAGAATTGAGAAACACTGATTTAGACTAAGGCAAGAGGGGAAAAAAGGTAATTCCAACAGGATGAATAGTGAAGGGAAGCATAATAGGGCGATCCTTTCTGCTTATCCTGGAGCTACAGACTTGACAATGATTCCCTGACTGTAAAACAACACTGTTATAAAACAAAATATATATATTAAAAGGGAAACAAAAAGCACTTTTGAAATCAATGTGGATAGTCTTTCTCAATGCACTCCATATTGGAAGTGTGCTAGCATCCTGAAACAAATCCAACCGGCACCACTCAATTATTAGAACAGGACAGAATTGAGTGTTAACCATTTCCTTTAAAAAATTAATCACAGTCAAATACTAAGAAATGTTTTAAATGAAATTTGCTAACAAGGGAATAAATTAATCACCTCTTTTGAAACTTTTTTTTTTCTGGGTTTGGTCAAAAATTATGGGAAGTGCATTCTTCATAATGCCTGCTCTGTAACTGAATCCATGTGCCAAACTTGAGGTGGTTTGATTTCAGTGGGCCTAATACAGTCGTCAATCCAACCATTTTTTCTCATTAAGGGTAGAAATATTTCAAACTCTTAAAGCAAATCACAGTAATTCAAACAGTACTTAAACAAATCTGTTTACCTCTATAGGCGGCCTTAAGGATGGAAGAGGCGGTGGAGGCTTTTTCAGTTCTTCGCATTTTCTCTTTTTACATATCCGGTGGCTCGTTTTGCGTTTCCTACAACAGCTACACTCTTCACAGTTGGTCTTCCGCAGACAAGGCTCACAGACGCCACAGCGCCTTCTTTTTTTCTTTTCCAGCACAGGTTGCAAAGAGGCAAGACACCCACCAGTTGGAGACTCAAAAAGTAATGGCTCGGATGCCACAGCTGGATTGGTGTCACATTTCCTGGGATCCTGGGTATAGATTGTGACTTTTCTATCTTTTCCCAGCTGCAGCAAGGGATCCAGATGCTTTGGAATGGATTTGTTAGGTGGAACGGTCCTTGCCTCTTTCCCCCCACCACTACCCAACAGCAGCCTTGAATGATAGAATTGTGAAAAACTTTCTTTAGAAGCCTCGCTGCTGACTGGAGTTGAGCTAGTGGTGTTTCTTTCTAGATTAAAGGGTGCAGGGGCTGGATCTAAAATTAATGTTTCTGCAGCAATCCTTTCAAGAGTCTGTTCAAGATCTTCCAAGATGAAATTACTCAAAGAAATGCTAGAAATCTGTTCACAGACTGACTGTTCATTTGGTTGGTCGCAGCTTGAATACATTTGACTAGGGTAGAAAGAAGAATCAAGCGCTTGGTTGCTTGGCACCACCTCCAAGTCCTCTGGTAAAAGAGGGTCTCCTACAAGGCCTGGTTCTTTTAAGCAACCTTCTGCTCCAGAGGCCCACTGCAAATTCTTCTCTTCTGTCATAAGAGGCTCAGCATCTGGTTTGGTCAGGGGTTCCAATAACACACACGGGTCATCCAGATGCAATTTTGAGATCAGTTCAGAGGTAATCAAAATGGCAGCATCGGATTCACAGGGAGTTAGCACCGTATCAAGTCCAGTGTTGGAATGAGAGTCTACAGAAGTCTCTGGTCGTTTCTTATGCAACACCGGGTTTTGTTCCGAGGAAAGGCTCAGCATTGACATGGAATGTGAACAGGAATGTTCTGGGTGGACAGGAGATAAATTCAGGTTACTCTTTGCATATGGTTTTACAGATGTTCCTAATTCATTCTCCCGCACCCTTAAAGTAGTGTCAAAGTCCACATGTAAATGGGGGAGAAGAGGCTCAGGCAAAATTTCATTTGAGGTATTAGTAAACAAATCTTTCAGGGTCTGCTCACTTGATACAAATTCTTTACATCTGTGTTCTTCTTTTGGTATTCCTGAATTACAGGTATCCGTCATGCCATTGTTAGAAACAGAATTTTTGGGGAGGGGCATAGTCCCTCTCTTTTTGGCTTGATTATCATCTACAGAGGACCAGCCTGCTTCCTGAGAACATGGAGCCTTGTGTCCTTTGGGAGAAGGTAATTCACTGTTCAAGTTTAAATCTCGTGCAAAAGCTCTTGTAGTCTGATCAGCTTCTTTCCTTTCTAATGCACAGGAAATTCCTGATCTAGGTTTTTCTTTTTTTCCTGGGCCACCCTTCTTAGCTCTTGTGATTGTCGATGCTTGAAATAGTCTGTGGGAGAACGGTTTCCTGCGAAGAGTCATGGAAAACCCACCATAGCTCAAAGGAGGCTGGTGGCGGAAGAGAACACTGTCGGTCAATTCCAGATTCATCCAAGATGTTCCAGAAAAGGCTTTGGTTACACTGCTCCGGAGAAATCGGCATGGCGAACTTAATGGAGGTTTATGTTCTTTGGATCTCTTTTTGCCATCGTTCTGTTCTTCCATTAACTTTCTGTAGCTTGTAGAACACTCCGTCTTTGAGGATACTTTCTTGGCATCTTTTATTCCTTGGCAAGATTTCTTTTTAACGGGACTTGGTTTCTTTTTGCTTATCTCCTCTTTTTTAATTAATCGTGAAGGTCTGGCATCCCGGGCCATTTCTATCGAACTCTAGATGTGACACTGGAATTAGAGTTCATGGAGCCTTGCAAATGATCTTCATTTCAAAAGGAGCCTGCATGTTTTTCCGGACATCCTCTGTATAATACAGAGCTGAAATAGAAAGAAAGAACACCAAAGCACTGTGAAGAATTACAGTGTTCACATAGAAACTTTAAAACATTTGTGTCACTTTTTATTACCTTTGTAGTTCTAACATCAAATTTGGAAGGTACATCAGTAGCTGTGCAGATTGAGAAATAGGAGGAAAAGTGATATAGCTAGCAGCTTGCCTAAGGCACAGGGGGAAGAAATGGAGCAAGTTCAATTTGTTCATAGTTCAGTTTGTATAACTCCTATGCTACGGAGTAATATTAAAAGTGGCACGTGTTTTCTTGGCAGCAAAGTCTGGAGGAAGCTGACTTTCTTCCATCTGAAGGTAGTGCTTTATTTTTTGTAGTACTGTATACAGCGCTTTACTTTTTAAGGGTTGATTTTCCCCCAACTCTTAATTAATGCTAGAGAACAAGCTAAGCAGAAGGCTGATTTGCACTGAATTCACTGAACACCAATTTAAGTGGACAAGGAAAGCTACGTCTCCCACTTTAAACTGAAGGGCACTGAGTAATGAAGCAAGCAATGCGAAGAGTTGCGACATCCCCTTCCTGTAAGCCTTTCAAGCAGTCTTGGCAAGTTTCAGAGATAAGAAATTGGAAGCCCCAAAACATTTTGAAATGAGAAGCACCACCACCTTCTACACGCAACAACTACATACCACTCGCTTTGCTCAATGTCATACCCACCATTTATTTTATCCTGTTACACCAAGAGGGGCAATACAGAAGATCTGCAGAATTTACAGAAATGGGAATCCAGAAGCAGCTCCTTGCCAAAGGAATTTTTTTCTTCTCCATCTGTCCACCTCCTGGGCGAGGGACAATACATAGTCCTGTGTGCTAGCAAACATCCATCTCGGTTTAGTTACCCTTGGTTTGTTCAAAAAATTTGTTTCCTGACTGGGCGTGGCTAGCACTGGCCCAATTACTTTTGAACTCCCAAAGCAAAACATTTGTGCTGTGCTTTTCACTCCAATCAGACTTCTGCTTATCTCCATTTCAAGAACTTGCAGAGAAGAACTCTGCTCATTTTTCCCAGAAACCGAGTTACGTGGATCAGATCTCGATGAGGCCAAAATATACGATAGGGTACAACCTGATCTGACCTTCAGTTAAAGATGCCTCTGTGCCAGAGTTTGAAAATGCCTTCATCAAGATGTTTTTCTTGATTAGGCAACCAACAATGAGTTCAAAGTAATGTGCTAGTGAGCAAAAAAGAACTCTGCAGTACAGGGGTAGGCAAACTTACGGTCAGTTTAAAAAAAATTGGACATTTTGAGAGCATGCCTTGGCTACCTTTACAAGATGGCTGCTGGAGATGGAGTTGCCAGCTCACAAAATGGCCACCACTATGAATGCAGTCAACCACAAAACATCACTTTATCCAAAAGCAAAATGGTGAAAAATAGTTCTCCCCTAGCCCCAAGGGTGCTTTCTAACACCCACTTTTGCCTTATTTTTCTGAGCAACTGCAGTCAACGACCAATTTAGAAGAATTCCTGTCATGTCTATGTGGGGTCCTGAGGAATTCTTGCAATTAAGGATGCTGGTGTTTTGCTTTGCAGGCACCTTATTGCTATATCATTATTCTGGTCTTTTTTCAAAATGTTGGGTTGGGGTCCCTGACACCCAGCTGCCAAGGGAAACCCTCTTGCCTCTCTCTGTTCTAGCAAAGAAAGTACCAGACTCCATGTTCTGCAAGCAGGTAGCCCTGGTGTTCACCTCTAGTGCCTATCAGATGGATACTCCCCTAACTCCCCTAATTTGGCATATGACAATTTCATATCTAGTAGCCCAGGAAGATCATTCTTCTGATTCAGGAAAACTATTCCCAATGGCTTACATCCTTTACATTGCCTGACATTTGCTTAAGAACTGTTAGCACAGAAGTGAACCTCAGCACATTTTTGAGTTGCGATTTTCAGAAATGGCAAGGAACATCATCCAGCTACAGCCCCATAGCAGATGCCGTATTGAATGAAAGCTAGGTTCCTGTCTAACCTGAATGACCTGGTTCCAGGAGTAAAGTTTCAGATTTGTTTTGGAATTTGGCAGTTGCTTATAGAGAGAGCTGTGTTTTGTATGGGCTGTCTTTACATCTGTGCTTTAGGATGTGTGGACTTCAACTCCCAGAATTCCCCAGCCAGCATGCTGGATGGGGAATTCTGGGAGTTGAAGTCCACGTATCTTAAAGTTGCCAAGGTTGAGATACGCTGATCTAGAGAGAAAATCAGTTTTGCTTCTAGCCCCACTACTGTTCTGCTCTTTTGTGTGGAGCTTCTATACATGGGAGCAAATGCAGCTTTTCTCAGGCTTAGGGGTTAGGATGATTCGTATTGGGAGCCCACTGTTTCTTCAGAAAGACACGTTTAAAAAAAAACAAACTGGGTTAAAGGCTGACTAGGAAACATTTCTGGTCTTAGAGCAGCTGCCAATCAAAACCACATTGCTAGACTAGGTGGACCAATGATTTGTACAGGACATAGCTTTGCCAACAAATAGATCTGAAAAGTGACTACTGCCTATAGTCTCTATGTTACATAACATACATGGTCCAATAAATTGGAATTGATATCCAATTAATTCAGTGAGGCTTTCTCCCGAATATAGCTCCCAACTATGTATATATTAAACTTGAATCCTATTAATTTGGGAGTTATCCATCAAATTACTTTGTGTTTTACAGAGTAAAAAGCATGCCTCTCATTTGAGTTGGTTACAATATAAAAGTGACTAGTAGAGGGACAACAAGGGGCAATGGAAAAGAAAACTGGGGATTAAAAGAAAACGCCTTTTTTTTTTCCTGTAGGCTTTCAAAAATGCTTAAGGGAAGATGATTTCCTTGTTGCCCTAAGGTAGCCAGGAAAATTAAACACAGCATAAGTAGAAATAAAAATTGGATGCTGAAAGGTGCAGGCAACCTAAGAATGGGAGAGAGCTGATCCTGAGAACAAGATGAAGAAATGATTGGTCCAACTATTACCTTACTATTTCTATACATATGAAGAGGTAAACACAGTTTCTCTACCGGGCCTGATCCGTACCTGAATGGGGTAACACTTAGACAGGGAACACCAAACATCCCAGAAGACAGTGACAAACCTCTTCCTCACTGTGCCCAAGAAACATGCATCAGTGTGCTCACATGGTCACTGAAAGTCAACTCGACTTGGGGCCTTCAATTTTCTTCCAGGAAGTCTGTGCTCAGTCTAGCCAAGATGGGCTGTCTATGTATTTCAACACCTTGATGAGGCCTCCTCAAGTACCATGTGGATTTCAAATGGCATTAACCTCTACTGGAAAACCTAAGGGTACATGAAGCCTAATAGGTTTTCTCCTTGGTAGTTCCTTACTACACCCATACCGATACTGGCAGGACAAGCTACTGTGTATAAACAGGGAGCAAACCCCACATTCACTAGCACTGATGTTACCTAGCTGGGTAATGAAACTTCTGCAAGCAAATAACCAAGCTCAGGGAGCACCACGGTTCCACCCTGAGCTACAGATATTCTCTTCTATTAAAACCATTCTTTTCTGCGATATGTTGTTTCAAGATTGAGGATCATGACACCTTCATGCTGCTTCCAAAGGGCTTTTAGTTCAGCCCACCCTTCTTTTGCTTATTAATGCTTTTGGTGGGGAGAGAGGTTTACAAGCAGGAGATGACTTTATCTGGACCTGTCCTAGCATTCCATGAATGAGGCAGTGCAGTTACACAACAAAAATGCTATCCGGAAGCAGACACATATTCCATACTGCTTCGGCAGCAAGTTCCCTGTTGTCACTGTATCAATGGAAACTCATAAGATACAATCAGTTCATAAAGACATTACTTAACAGTGGTCTCTCTGTCAACTACAACTTGCTGTTGACTCTTAAAAGGAGAGAGAGAAAGTCGGTCTAAATAACTCACATAAATGGTATTTCAAGTCAAGTTGATTGTATCTTTTGTTTGCTTTTACAGTTTGGCAATTGCACATCAGCATTCTTAGAAATGACTGAGAGATTCTTTGACAAATGTCTGTTATTGCAACAACCTCATCTCCACCCTCCACAACTGATTTGTTCCACAATATTTAAGAAACACTTCACACTTTATACAGGCCATCTAGCCAAGTACCAGCAACAATGGGTGCCACTGATAACTGTCAAGAGGGAGACCTTCCAAGTTGCCCACTCTTCATACATGCAATCTAAAAAGAAATCTCCAGAAATGCTATTTGACTCCACAGCCAGATGATCCATTTCAACATTCAAGCAGCTGCAGGTCAGAGGTATTCAAAATATTTATGGCATTACTAAATTACAAGTTATTCCAGATCAGACATCCATAATGTAATCCGGCCAACAACAGCCCCTGCGCATTTCATGCAGGAATGCCGGTATAGACATTTTCACCATGGTGTAGTATTGTAAAAGTTAAAGGAGGGAAGTTTTTTGAAACTGTAATGCACAAGAGGGAGCCATACGCTAGAGAGAGCTGTGATCAATCGCTGCTTCTCTGCACATTTGTTTGAGTGCTCAAGGATACATATCTCCTCTTGAGAACCTTTGCTGGCTGGTTAAGAAGCAGTCATTTTTTTGCAATTAATTAAACACTTGTGTATCAAAACAGGAAATGCATTTTGAAAAGCCAACCCCCTTCATTGGTCTCAAAAGCCAGTTTTTTACATTAAAGTTGTGCTCACCCTGAAGTTGCTGCTGGGGAAATGAGGATAGCATACAGACTGTATTTCTGCTCGAGTCTTCAAGAAGACACCCTCCCAAATCAATGGCTTGAAAGCTGCTTGCCACCCTTCAGCAACAGGTCAAGAAAGAGCCCTCTTCTCGGTTTCAACAAATTCTCCACTCACTTCCTACCTCTTGCAGACCTAGGCAGCATTTAAGGAAGCAGAACTAAAACCTCCCCCCTCATGACTTTTGGCCACATGCTCTGCAAGCGGCAGAATTAATAAGGGCCAAAGGGACGGTGCAGGTATGGAGGGAGGCAAGGCGGCCAGCCCTCCCAAACTGCTGCCTAGAAGAAGCCCCGCGGTTGAGCAACTGCACACAGAGATACATACTCCTTCCTCCAGAAGCAAGTTTATCAGCAACTGGGGGGGGGAAGGGGACCAATCCAGGCCTGGGTTCTCATTTCAAGCAGATGGCTCCCTGGAGGGGGGTCGCTTCTCCAGGACTTAGTAGCCCGAAGTGGCCTAGAGTCACGTTGCTCAAGAGGGGCTGAACTGCAAGTCAACAGGTTAAATTCCATTTTACTTCTTGACAATGCAAGTGCCCAAACTGGCTTTGAGATCAGCCAAAATGGGGAGTGGAAAAACTCAGACCCAGAACCTAATTTAACTCACTAGGCTCTTCAGAAATACAGTGGAGCGATTTAACCCAATGCACCCATTTCCCGCATCCATTCCCTTTTTCTGATTAAAGCGAGGTTTAAAAGATGCCGTTTAACCTTTTTTTCGCTCTCCCCCTCCAACCCTGAGAAATCGAAAGCTTAAGAAAATAAAAGAGGAGTCGAGGTTGACGATCTGTCCTTTAAACTATTCTCTCTTTGTATGGAGATTTAAAACAGCTTTGCCTGCCCGGCGGGTTTTTCTAGGCAGGCTTTGATAGCTTTAAGACAAATTTGCAAATTCCTGGATGCCTTGAAAAAGGCGAATAGGGTCTATTGGGCCGTAATTTTCCTAAGCAACGAAAACGTCCAAATTATCCGCCTTCCTTTCCTTCCCCAATCATCGGCAGAAAGGTTTTCTGGTAGCGGGGGCGGTTTTAGCTAACTTTTAACTGCTTTCTCCACGTCTCCGCTCCAGGAAAGACGATCCAGCTTTGGGGAAAGGGGTCTCTTTTAACCCACCCGAACCCGCTAAGAAGTTTCACAGGCGACAAACGCTGCGGCACATCATGTCCTCCTCCCCACACGATCGGCTTCTCTGGG